TAGGCAGAAGGAACACTGTCTGCAGTTCAAATTGAATAAAACTGCAGTTTTGTTCAAGTAAAAAGAGTATTAATAAAACCATAGGAATTCATTTATGCAGTACCTATTCCAAAGTCAATAAAAATAATGCATTTTGGGGGAGCACTACATAATTTAGCTATCGACTGCTGTTGACAATTACAGATGATCAGAAAATAAATTACAACTGGTGCATTAGTTACAAGTATTCAATTAAAAAGTTAAGAATCTACTACAATATATGGCTATGTACAAATACTAATAATTGTTTCATGAACTATTTGCGTTGCAGTAGAGAATTGAAAGCTTATCAAAATGGATGCCCTCAACCAGACGGAGCAAAATAATAAATTCATAGTGAAATATCGGCAGCAGTATTATGATCTGTCCGAGTTTATGCACAAACATCCAGGCGGAATAAGCAGCCTAAAGGGACTCAGTCAGACAGATATGACATCTCGTTTTATGAAGGCACCGCCGCATTCCGATGCAGCCATGTACCTGATGAGAGAGTACAAGGTGAGCGCACAGGATCACGAAAGTGATAAAAGGACAAATGAGAGGCGTACGGATAAGTTGGCAGAGAATGGAGTTGAACTGCTGGAACAACCACAAAAATCGGAGGACAGCAACAACAATCAATTGGATGAAAGCATGGAGGTGAGTGTACGAAAGATAATTAAGCATGTTTGCTGGTTGGTCTTCAGTTTTCTCTTGAAAATCCAAATTTCTCCTTCACTCTAGCTTTTTATTTTATTTTTTTTATATTTTTTAGTTTAGTGTCTGGAGTTGACATTCTAGTTATTTCATATTTTTTTTACATTTTTTTGATGCTCATTTAAAAAATATAAATACTATGAACTCATAAAAGACTAGGCTTGGTCCAAATGCTCCAATAGTCATATAGTTGGGAATATTGTTCAAAGCGATATTTCCTGTTGGTAGAAACCGTTCGATTTTCTATTTGAATGAGTGGGAGATTCTTTTTGTTTCATTTAACATTAACGAAATTTTGCATGCCTTAGAGATTTCGCGATTTGGCTGCTCTCACATACACCTTAGGCTTAGAGTAAACGCGTATTTCGTCCTCGACAACGGTCAGTTCCTTATCGATCTCAGCCTTACGAGAACGCACGCGTAGTGTCTGCGCGGTCATGGGCATGTGGTTTAGCTCACTAATGAGCGTATCAAAGCCTACAAGTGAAATATGAAAATGTATAATAAATGCTGGTGTATGTAAAATTGGTTGCAACTTACGCTGCTTGGCGGTAGCTAACGCAGCCAGGCGGTCCGGCTCACTCAGCAATACATGACCGCGTGGGCAGTCCGGATCGCGTGAATCTATAAGTTCTTGAGCCTCAGCTTTTTCGCGCTTCTCCTTTTCCAAATAGCGCGGTAGGCGTAGATCATCGCGTGCTGTAAAAGCATCACGCAGTTAGCCAACTAGATGCACAGATTATTTACTTGTTATACTCACAGCCCAGCTTGTATTCGCGACGCTTTGATTTGGTCGTAGCATTTGAAGCAATTGTTTCGCGACTGCGAGCACTCAGCGGTGCTTCTTCGTCAGTATGATCGAGACCTAAATTTTCCATCTCTGGCATTGGCATTGTTTCGTTGTCATCTATATCAAGAAGGCTGTGTTTGGAGCGTGCCGACAGCGGCTGCTCATCGTCATTGAATTGACTGTAGCTTCCGTAGTTGTCATCGTAGTCGAGGTCAGGAGCAATGCATAGCTTGCGTTCCCCGCTTAAAACTGTCTTGCTATCAATGTTGCACCTACACATATAGATGTGTTCGGAAATTTAGTTCAATTCGATTGCTATATGCTGGCTTTAATGAGAAGGTACTAACTTTTTAAGTGCATTGGTAAGGTAAAGCTCATCCTTTATGTCCTCTGTCTGTATGCCAATGCTTGTGGAGCTGCGTTCGGCATTACATGACTGACAGCGGCTCGATGATGGCTGAACCGGCTGCGGTTTTGGGAGAACCTTTTTCTCCTTTTGAATTTCGTGTTTTTCGGGGTGTGCGCAAGACTCGTGTTCGTCCGGTTGTGGTTTGTCCAGGAACTGCTGCGAACGCGAGTTGCTTTGGCTGCGCAATAAACACACCTCTTCATCAACATTCCTTGAAAACAATCTTTCAGTTTCGCACTTCTTCGACTCACGTTCACGTGCCTCGGACGGAGTGCGAAGTAGTGGCGGCATCCATTTCGGACGCACTGGTTCCTTGGCAGCAAGCTTCTCTGTAGTTGCCTTTTCTAGGGAACGTAGGCTCTTTTTGTTTTCCTTTAGAAAATTACGTCCCGGTGTGACGCCTACAAGAAAACGAATGCCAATCGTGTAAACATTTCTTTTTGGTTGCCATGGCTGTTTGAAAAAATATACTTACGCGGCACCGAAAACATGCCCTTTAATGTTGGTATTGGGCGTATTGTGGTGTTCGACATTTTTTTTGCTGAATGTGGCCTAACCACAATACGTCTAATCTGTGTTGAAGAATTTATAAGGAATTTAAATATTGCCGTGTTCTGCAGCTTACAAAAACGGAATGAAATCAGCCAACCTGTTCAAATGTCAGCTTTGAAGTAAAACCAACCAGCTGCTCGAGACGCCAACGTTTGATGGTTTTGAATATATCGATAGGTCGATGATAGAGTCGAAATGAGCGCTGCCACTGTTCAAAAGTATCGACAAATTGATAATATCGTTAAAACGGTTTTTCTTTTTCTAATTGTCAGCACCTCGTGGACTGGTCGAAAGCTATGCTGCCCCAAATTTCAAAAATAACTAAATATTACGACGAATGGGTACATAAACCAGTAGACAGACCCCTGCGCTTGTTCGGTCCTTGGTATTTGGAAATGTGCACGAAGACCCCATGGTGGGTTGTGCCAATGTTCTGGATCCCAGCGATTATTGCCTGCGGCTGGCCAGAGTTCCAAGCGAACTCGCACAATATGAAAGAAGTAAGTTTAAACAACACATACGTCAACACACATTTACTTAACGGTATCCTTACAATTAGATTGCAACCTTCCTCAGCCATCTGCTCTTTGGGGTGATATTTTGGACGCTGCTGGAGTATACATTGCACCGATGGGTCTTTCATGTAAAGTTGACAAGCGACAGTGGACCTTGGCTGTGCACCCTTCACTTTATGATACACGGACTGCATCACAAGGTCCCATTTGATCCGATGCGTCTTGTTTTTCCTCCATTGCCTGGAGTTGTGCTTGCTACTATTATTTATACACCACTGAGTTTTCTTCTACAAAATAACCATCCGCGTTTGGTACTAACGGGTGCTTTAATAGGTTATTTATGCTATGACATGATACATTATTATTTGCATTACGGTAATCCATCGGCGGGTCATCATTTATATCATATGAAGAGGTATCATTATCAGCATCACTTTGCTCATCAAGATCTCGGATATGGTATTAGCAGTCCCATTTGGGATATTGTTTTTAAGACACGTATAAATTTACGAAAATTAAGATACCAATTACGATGGTCGTAGTGGCCAAGTTACATTTTGCTACATATATAAGAACAAATTTGTAATGTAGGTTAAGAAAAAGTAAGATGACAATTTTGTAAAACTTTAAGAAAAAATATATATTTAAATAATAACATGATGTTGTGTATAATAATCAATTTACACTGAGTAAATGGTTTGATGGTTTACTTCTTGATAATTCAAAATAGAATTATTTTAGCGCCTCGACGAGCACAGTAATGCAGTTAATTTTTTATCGATAGATGGGCTATCGATATGCAGAAAATCCACGTACAGAGAATGGTGGCAACGCTAATCGCAGATTGAGAAAGTGTAGTCAACACCTATTTATTTACTTTATTGTTTTATTTTATAAAAATGCTTAATGCAAAAATTGGTAAGGTTGGCAAGGTGTTGGTGTGTGGCATGAAAAATGTGGGAAAAACAGCACTCATCGAGCAGTTGGTTTATGGAAATATCAACGCCGATACTGTAAGTTGGCCGCAAATACTCTGTGTTTGTTCCTAGTTACCAATACAACAACAAAAATTTAACTACTCTTAGGAACTGCATCCAACAATTGAGGATATATATGTAGCAAGCGTGGACACTGGACGTGGTGGCGCCCGGGAAATACTACGCATCTACGATACAGCTGGTTTACAAGGTGAACAAGCGGCTCAGCTGCCGCGTCATTATCTGCAATTTCCAGATGCCTTTGTGCTAGTCTATGATCCCACTGATCCACGCAGCTTGGATATGTTGGCAGACATCAAGACAGATATAGACAAGCATAAAGAGAAGAAAGAAGTGCCTGTAATTGTATTAGCCAATGTCCGAGCGCGCAGCAAAAAGGACACGCCACCCGGCACGCCAAATCCTGTGGAATCGATAATGGATCGGGCCAATAATTGGTGTCAACGAGAACGCATTAAACATTACACAGTCAATGTTATGGAACGCCCCTCGCTGTACGAGCCCTTCACAATGCTGTGTGCCCGTCTTCATCCGCCACAAACGAAGAGCACCTTCCCACAGCTGCGCCAGGTGATGCAGAATCGACAGAAGAGCGAGGTTTAGCAAGTGCAATCTACTTTGTTCCATATGTGTATTTAGAGAGTATATACACATATGGAATGCAATTATAATTTAGAATAGAATTGACGAAGGAAATGACTAATGTGGAATTCTGCGAGTATTACCCGCCCCATTGAGTCTATTACTCTTATTAATAGGCTGATCAAAGCCGTTGCTCATGCAAATGTATAAAGTGTACTAAGTATAGATTACTGTGAACTATCTGTAGAATTCATCACATTTAGCAATTAAGCCTAATCAGCATTCAAACTACGTCAGAGACAACCCATTTGAACTTTGAAGCAACAGTGCCTGGTATATTTCAATTAAAATTCGGAGAGCTGCGACGGCTTACAGTATTCCCCCCCGAGATCAGTATAAATTTGACCCTCGAATAGAACATGCGCGCCAAGAATTTCGTTGTTGCCTTGGCGGCGATGCTAGCCAGCGTGCATGGTCTGGGCATAACAGTGCCCGGTACCAAATGGTGTGGCCCCGGCAATATAGCTGACAACTATAACGATCTGGGCAGTGAAATGGAGCTAGACATGTGCTGTCGGGCACATGACCACTGTGAGGAGAAGATTTCGCCCAACACACAAAAATACGGTCTGACCAATGACGGTTTCTTTCCCATGTGAGTGCAAAAAGACGAGAAGCACTCATCGATGTTAACCGATAGATATCCACAGTTTCTCCTGTGCCTGTGAATCAGCTTTTCGCCTGTGCCTCAACTCGCTGCACAACATGGAGTCCGCCGCTTTGGGTCATATATATTTCGGCACTAGAAATGTGTGCTTCGCTTATGGGCCGCCCATAATTTCCTGTCAGGAGCAGCAGTGGGACCACTTCATGAAGCGTTGCCTAACTTACGAGGAGGATGTATCTCAGCCCGGACGCTGGCAATTCTATGACCTGGCATTCTACACGCACCCCAGCGAGGAGAAGTAACAGTTCGATTATTTTAAGCCGCAATTGCGCGATAAGCTTATATATTTACGTATGGCAGACAGACATACGAGCAGACTCGGATTTCTACGCATAATATTAAATAAAACATTATTAATGATTAAAGCTCTCAGGGTCAAGATTTCTTTGTCGCCGCAATCGTATAGAATGGCATGTCGTAGAATTGCCACAGGCGGGCCGCTCTCTTGTTCACAGTATACCGAATGCATCGCCTGCGTATTGTGCCTAGCTGGTACTCCTTGCATCCGGTGGTGGGGTAGCCTTGGGCAAAACACTTGCTCCGCGTGGTATAGTAGATGCGACCCAAGGTGTTCGATGTCATGCTGTTTACGGCCTGCAGGCAGTTAATGAACTGCTGTTCGCAGCTGCACTTTAGTCTGGAAAAACCCAAAAAGGTCACAGACGCGCGGGATATTGATTTTTCCGCGGCACTTACATGGGAAACCAGTCGGTGTTGTTGGGCAGGCCATGAAGCGAGCTGTGCGATTCGATAATCTCCTCGCAGTGATCATGAGCACGACAACATTTATCGGTTTCACGCTCCCGGCCCAGATCTCCGTAGTTGGCCGCCGTATTACCCGGTCCACACCACTTAGTGCCGGGCGCTGTAATGCCTGTGTGCACGACCGGAGGCAGCGCCTGATTGTAAATGTCTTCATCCTCAAAAATGGCCTCGTCTCCAAACGCAAATGAGGCTCCAATAAACGAGAAGAACAGCAGCAAATGCACTGCTCGCATGATGATACGTTGCCGTTGAATTCAAATGTGAAACTGAGCTATCAGCTGCTTTAAGATTGACTCGGCCAGCCGCTCAGCTGATTAGCGTAGCTGATAAGAATTCGAATAATATTTCATGAAGGTCCTTATGCCTAGAATATGTTATACAATGCATAGTGAATTAAAGTTGTTTTATTACGTACATACTAAGTAGTATATATATTTGTTTTAGTGTAGATCTGACACGTTAGCTAAGTATATCCTTAAATAACTCGTTGGCTGTCTTCGCAGGGCGTTTTTTCGTCTGCGCTGGCTTCTCCTGCTCCAGCTGCTGACCCAGACTGGCCAGCCACTGACTAGGCGACAGTTTGTAGGTCTCCAAACGATATTTGGAGTGGATAAGGCTGCCATATGGTGAGCCTTTTAACATGTTGATCTTAGAGCTCAATTCCTTAGCCATACGCAGCTTTTGTGCTTCTTGTGCAGCCTTGAAGCATTGCTCCATGACGCGTGAACCATGCCTGGTGATAGCCAGGTCCACATAGAAGCCATCTAGCTGGCGGATAAGACGCTCTCGTGATTTCTCTCCAATGTATTTGCTCTGCAAGAAGGCATCGACAATGTGCGAGCCATTTGGTGTGTTAAGGATTTGCGCCAGCTGCACAGCAGGCAGCTCCAGAATGCAGTTGACTAGGAAGATGGGCTTATTGAACTGAAGCATATGCTGTACTATTAGCGATCCATGTAGATGCACAAATGCGGACTGATCGTCGGCGATAAGCTCATGGGGCTTCAGTTTAACAAGACAGTTAAAGAACATCTTGGATTTATCCTTGTCGCCAGCCACATGTAAGGCGGCCTGAAGTGCTGCTATCATCTGAGCCTGCTTGGCGCCCAAGCGCAGGCAGGCAGCGCTCAGGGCAGACACCACGCCTGTTAGACCCGTTTTCAGCAGGTGCTCAATCTGCGGCTGTAACTCATCGAAGACAGACTCAAAGTCGGGCACCTCTTTCAAGTGCTGTAGCAGACGCTGCACGGCAAAGTTGGTTTGTTGCTGTAGGGCCAGGTGAGCTACGCGACCGCTAAAAAGCATGGCATAAAGTTGAGTCAACAGCTTTCCACCTGCCACAGTCAAAAGAGTTTCAAGAAGTATAACAGCGCACTGGTAATGGAAGACTTTGGGCAGCACGATCTTAGCTTTAACATTATCGTCTTCGGTTGCTGGTGTCACCGCCTTTTCATTAGTGGCGGGCTCGTCACCCTCGTCGTCTATTTCAATTTTGAGGTCCTTCGGCTTGTCTTCATCGTCAGCATTAGTCGCATCGTCCGGTTTCAGCAAGCTTTCCATTAATATTTTTTTGCCAAAATGCTTCAACATGTTCTTATCGACCACACTAAGAGATAAGCATATAACACCCAATAGTGCAGAGGAGTGTTCCTGGTAGGGAAAGTCCGCAAACTGAGGCCACATTTCCAGGCGCTGTGGATACTCCTTCATGACCTCAGGCCATTCTTCGGGCACCGTGTAAAGTTTGCGATGCTTGGCCAGCTCGGCGCCGCCCTTCACGAAAGCAATTTTGGGCACATGGATGCCAACAAGGCAGAGTATAGCTGTTCGCATGATGTGTGTGGCGCATGCATCCCACACAAAATCCTCCAGATTGTTAAGCATGAATTTCGAGATGCGTAAAACAAATTGGCGACACTGTTCACGATGCTCCTCGCTAAATTCGGTCTCCAAATTGTACTGCTCCTCGACCTGCGCGGCATCGGGCTTGGCTTTCTTGGCTGGGTCGGAAAGATCGTCTTCTGACGGTTCCCGAGCTGCTGTCTGTCCCAATCCTCGCAGAAATGCTATTTCCACCATTTTTTGCAGCACATGCGATGCAAACGGGTCGGAACACATGGGACGCAGGCTGTCGCCGAATTTGGTAAAAAACCGTTCAAGCTGTGGAGCGTCCACAAATCCAATTAGAGACTCAAGCGCCTTGGAGACAACTTGATTGGCGGCCAAGTCGATTTCATGGTCCTTTGTCTGCTCGAACACGTTATTCGCCATATTGACTATAGAAACATCAAAACTACTGTAGATTTTGACAGCATTTAAGCAATTGCCACTTACCTCGCTCTTCCACATCTTCGAGACCTGCCTTCATGGCATCCAAGATGTTTATAAAATAGTTGAACTGCTCACCATCAATATGAGAGCCGCGCCCAAAAATACCCTGCTTGGCAAAGCCTTTTGCATTGCGCATAAATTTCTTTCCCTTCTTCTTGGGCCTTTTACGTTTGCCACTGTTTTCAGTTTGCATGATCGTCTATTATGTTGCTATTTAGTACAAACCAAAACTCAATTACAACGTGCGCCGCACAACACGCGTTCCGATAGGACAATTAGATGTGCAGCCGATTGTAATCGTTGCGTGGCGTTGCCAGACTGTCAACGTTTGTTTTTATCACGCGTCCATCGCTAATAACTACAACAACAAGCGTCGCTTTTCAAGCAAACGGTTTTAAAATGGAGGAAACGCACGATTTTCAGTTTATTTTACCAATGAAAAACAATGATTTACTTAATTCACGCGGCGATCAGTACTATGTACAACAGATATACACTCCCAGCGAAATACCAGAGCAATTACTTGGTAAGCGGACTGTTACTTTTTGTATGCGCAGCAGCGCGCCTGTAATTCAAACAATCACGTACAGTAAAACAAACGCTAACTCGAATCCGTTTATTTGCAGCATGTAAAAATAAAGTGCATCAGCGTGATCCATTCTATATATTCGAGCACTTTGATACGTACTACTCGATAATAGAAAACACCGCTAACGATGCCGCTGCCATACGCAATCTTATGCGTGCCTTTGACTTATTGTACCTTACTGTGGACAGATTGGGCGGGCAGCTAATGCCGCTGCTAACAAGCAGCGAGCCGCCGTCATCGCAGGATCGTGTGCGCTATCTGAATCTCACGAAAATGACCCTGTACTTATTTGTCAACGTAGTGAAGCGCATTGACGTCATTGTCCAACAGGTGCTGCGGGACCAGCAGTTGAACCAGCAGAAAAAGCGCGCCAAACAAGGCGAGGTGCTGGAACAGTATCCCGATTGGGATGTAAAGCGAGGCAAGTTTCTGGTGCAGCTTTATAATGTCTTGCAGTGTCCTCTAGAGAAGCTCTGGAATCCTCCTGTAGCCGAGGAAAGCTTTGTAACGTAAGTATAAGATATCTCCCAGTTAAATGATGATTTTTTTAAACAGCAGCTCCCTATTACAGCATGTTGTGTGATATTAGTTATCGCACTTTGGAATTGGTGCCTCCTCGGCCGGACAACCGGCATATCATTGACACGCTCTTTCAAATCTTTGGCATCGCGATCAAACGGTATAATCATGCAATAACCTTTCCGGCTCGGATACTGCAAATTCTGCGGAGTACTGAGCATGCTGCAACAGCCGTAGCGAGTGGCATTTTATTGCTACACGAAGAATACGGCATTTCCACAGTCTTCTCGATACTGATGAAGGATATTGTCGAGGCCCTCACTCTCGACACTTCTGATACCGCGATCTCGCGTAACTTTTCTAACTTTCTTGCCGAGTTCTCGGGCATTGCACCCAAGCTGATGATACCACATCTTTCTAAGCTAGGCGATGAAATGCTGGACTGCGAGTCCCATGTGTTGCGCAACTGTGTACTGCAGATCATGGGTGATGCTGTTGTAGGCGAACTTACCTCTGAAGAGCTCGATGATGATATGAAGGAGGCGCGCAACGAGTTTCTCGATAATCTGCTATCCCATGTTAACGACATATCCGCTCATGTGCGCTCCAAGGTGTTGCACATTTGGCATCATCTGAAGGAGCAGCATGCAATACCGCTGAGTTTTTTAATCAAGGTGCTGCGCGAGGCAGTGTGTCGGCTAGAGGATAAAAGTTCCTTGGTGCGTAAGTCAGCCATACAGCTGATAAAAGCTTTTCTCGAAAACAATCCGTATTCTGGAAAATTAACTCTAGAGGAGCTTATTAAGAAGCACGAGAAGGAAGTTGAAGTTATGGAACAGTTGGACGAAGTGTTAGCTGAAGAGCGCAATCAGTTGAAAAAGCTCGACGAGCAATGGGAAGCCATAACACCAGAGTTGTTGCCCATTATTGAGGAAAACTTGCGTGTTGGTAAGTACGCTTTTTGAACCTCAGACGCCATATGCATACTCGCAATTGAATTGATATCATTTCACTGACCTTATTCTTTATTCTTAGCTCCAGAGATGCAGTTCGACAAGGAGGAAGAGTACGAGCAGCTGGTGCAAAAGATATTGCCGCTTCTTTTGGAAAAAAACTACAAGGAGGCCACAGTACTAGTGCGCAAAGCAGACTATGCGGCGGGCAATCATGATCTTAGGTGGACATTTGATAGCTCCTAATTAAATACATCTAAAGTCTATTATAATCTTTATCCACAGCCAACTGCTGAAGCCAGAGGAGCGTTGTGTTTATATTTTAGCGCTATTTAAAACCTTTCTCTCCCTTGCCAATGGCTGCAAGGACAGCGTAAGTGCCAAAGCTTTTATAAAAATATGCAGTACAGCTAATACCTGTCTTTTGTTTATCTAGAGCGAGGAAATGCAGAAGCAAATAAAAACTGTTGAGTTTCTCAAGGATAGCATAGAGTTCTCGCATGTGGCGACCTCCGCCATGCCAAAAATACTCGAAATGCTGCTGTCTAAGACGAATACAGACGTCTTCGAGGCAGTCGATCTTTTCACTACAGGCTACCTCTTTGGTATTCACGGCACCCTGACGGGCATGCAGCGCATGTTGAATCTGGTGTGGTCCTCAGATAAGGAGAAACGGGATGCAGTATCCAATGCGTATCGCAAGGTGCTTTTTACCACGGATAAGACAGAACGTGCGCATGCCATTAAGGTTGTGCAAAATCTATCCAAATTCCTCTCAGAGGTTGAGTACGGGCACTACACGGCCATGGAAACGCTGATGGGCGAGTGGGTGGCCAGCGAGGATATTGATGCGCTCATCATTCAAGTGCTATTCGAACGATTTACGCTCAAGCTGGAGGGCACCACAAAAGATGAGGCCCGTTTGGCTCTGCAGCTGCTCATTATGGCCTCACAGGCAAAATCAACTATAGCCTCAGCCAATCGTGCCCTCATCGAAGATATTGCGACAGGAGAGCGTGTGAGACAGGATCCTCGCATCTATACCAGCTGCTTACAACTTCTGGTCAACAGCATCGATGCGAACAACAACAGCAAGTACTATAAACGTTGCGCCAGCGATGCCAAATTCGTGCAGCAAATTACGAGCCTGTTTCTGAACTTTTTCTTCCATCCCCAATTGCCTGACTTTGATGCATTGGCCATGAGCCTGTTCGAGTACTATTACCGCATGTGCCAGGCGCCGGATGAGCTGGCTCAGAATATTGTGAGCGAGCTTATTGGACGCTTCAATGACCACTGGCTGGTAGTAGCAGAGCCTGAGGAGCCACCGCAAACGCAGACTACAGACATTCCATACTCACAGCCGCTGCCCATGTCTCAGACTCTAACACAGACCCAGACACAATCTAAAGCTGTTGAAGAACAACAGGCGCGAATACCCGTTTATTTGGTTTCAAGGTTTGTGTTTTGCGTTGGCTACATGACCATCAAGGAGATGATATTTCTGGACATGGATGTCTACAACAACATGAAGTACCGTGAAGAGCTGACCGCCCTCGAAGAGAAGAAGAACAAAAAGGACGCTGTGAACGCACTCCGCCGCCAGACCATGAATGTCTCGGCAATGGAGGTGCGCAAGCGTTTGTCGGGTGTAGCCGCGGAGCCGCAGCAAGAGCCCGACGACGATTTAGTGGGTGCCACGGCAGAGGATAACATCGCCGAGGAAATCAATGCCATCTGTGAGGACATGCTGTTGTATGAGCCGAATGCGCTCATGTCAAAGATCTATCCAATTATAATTGATATATGCAAGCGGCCTGGCGAGTATCGGGATCAGCAACTGCAGCAGGCTGCCACCCTAACACTGGCGCGCCTGATGACGGTCTCGTCCAAGTTCTGCGAGTCGAACATGTCCTTCCTCATGAATATCCTTAATATGACTAAAAATTTGAAGATCAAGTGTAACACTGTGGTGGGCCTCTCGGATCTGACATTCCGTTTTCCGAACATAATTGAGCCCTGGACCGGCCACTTTTACTCTCAGCTGCATGAGGAGGACACCGAGCTCCGCCTGACCGCTGTCAAGATGCTTTCTCATCTAATCCTGCACGAAATGATACGCGTCAAGGGACAGATAGCCGACCTTGCTCTGTGCATTGTCGACGAAAGCGACGAGATCCGAAATATTACACAACAGTTCTTCAAGGAGATTGCCAACAAATCGAATATACTGTACAACGTGCTGCCCGACATTATCTCCAAGTTAGGCGACATTAATCTTCACCTGGAGGAGGATAAATACCGCACAATTATGCGCTATATACTGGGGCTCATACAAAAGGATCGCCAAATCGAGACGCTGGTGGAGAAGCTGTGTCTGCGGTTCCCGGTCACTCGCGTGGAACGTCAGTGGCGCGACATTGCCTACTGCCTGGGCCTGCTGAGCTATAACGAAAGATCGATTAAGAAGCTAATCGACAACGTGCAACATTTCCGTGACAAGGTGCAGGTGGATGAGGTCTACCAGTCCTTCAAGCTCATTATCAGCAATACTTCCAAGTTGGCCAAGCCGGAGCTCAAAGCCGTCGTCACAGAGTTTGAGACGCGCCTTAACGAATGCCTGCAGGTCGTCGAACCAGGCACGAGTTCCCAGTCCGAAAAAGGTCCCAACGAAACGCGTGCCAACAAGACCAAGACCGCGAAACCAACTAACAAACAACGTGGACGCGGAACACGCGCGGCCGGCAGCAACAGGCGTGGACGGAATGCGCGGCAGGAGAGCAGCTCCGAGCAGGACAACTCCGAGGACGACAGCTCCGACAGTGATGAGGCGCCCATCGCGCCTCGTCAGCAAGCGCAGAAAAAACAACAACAGCGTGGAAAGAACACAGCTCGTTCGTCTGGCTCCAGCGAAGAGTCCGAGCAGGAAACAATCCAGCGCAACAGAAATCAGAGCTCTCGGCGAGCGCGTAAATGATATCATCTGAAAGTTGTGCTAATATTTTATACTTTTATTATATTTTTAAACCTAACTTATATCAAGTCTATAAAGTGGCCTCATGGAGCTCTCAAATACATGCCTTTGCATTTACCTTCAGATCTAAGCTTCTTTTTGTCAAGATAAAATGTTGACAGGCGCTGACAGATTAGGAGATGCGAGTAACAGGAATACACACCCACACACACACACAGAGGCACACATATACACTCTAATCTGCTTTGTAGCAATTCACAAATGTTCATTGAGTCCCGTTGGACTATGGCTCTATTCTCTGCTCTCTATTCTCTGTTCTCTGTTTTGAAGATCGTTTAATTGTAATCTCCTTATATTGTCACTTTCGTGGAAGCAGCTCAGCAGCCGTCGAGGTGCATGTTTTGCTCTGGATGAGGTCCAGCTTGGCTTTTGGACCAGGTACTCGTCACATTCTTTGGCATTTAAGAGGAAAGTGATTTGTGCGCATATAAAGAGAGGATTTTAACGTATTGTCCACAATTATTATTGAAGTCAAAATTTAGAAAATCAATAATTATAATTGCGAACTTGACCTTAATGTGAAAAAGGGGCGTGATTCCTATTTGTCGAAAGAATTGTTAATCGTTTACAGGGAAAGGAATAATAAAGGTGAAATAGGCTAAAAAAAAGTGTCCACATTCTATATAAGATGTGTGGGACAAACTCTTATACGAAATCCATATTTATCGATTGCATGAAAAAAGGGTGAGCCTTGGATGATTTGAAATAGAAGGACCTGTCCTGCTGATCGATAATATATGTACTTCATAGGTTATACACTCTGCCCAAGCCATTACACCCTTACACCAATTTCGATGTGCACAGGGTATAATTATAATTATGCAATATATGTTAATAATTGCGAGTGGGCGAGTGTATCTGGTGTATATGTATCTATATCTGTATCTGTATCTGTATTTGTATCTATCGAATTTAATGCCGCAGACTATTTTAAATTGTACACAAAAAGATAACAATTTAAGGCCGTTAATTAAATTATCCACAATGTGGCCCGCAAGATAAAAGAAGTCAAAATATTTTGTAACTGGATACTCGATACACAGCCTCAATCAGAGACGCAGTCCCAGTCAGACACGTGTGTGTTGTCCGGGCAACGGGGGTGGCTGGGCGATGGCAACGGAGTCTGCACCAGTCTGCATCGGCAAATCATCGAGAGAGAGCTGCCAAGTCAGCCAGCCAGCAAGCCAGCCAGTCAGGCGGCAGCCACCCCCAAATGGCTATCAATCCGGGGTAGAGGCAACCTGGCTCCGGCCATTGTAACATTGCGTCGGCTGCCAGTTTGCCAGTTGCCAAGCGCCGCCCTCCAGTCGAGACCGTTGCCAGGTGGCGTGGAAGGGTCACCAGCACCAGCAGACGTTGGTGCCATTAACATGCTCATTACATGTGTCGCGACTGCGGAGCGAGCGCGCGCTGACGATGGGCAAGAGGCGCGTGTGGGACGTGCGCGAGACGCACGCGCGCCCCGCAGACGCCGGACAGCCCATTCATTATCCATGGCTATTAGCATTAGCGGGTTTACCTGTCGGCGCGGATTAGTGCTGTCTGTGGTCAGATTTTCCTAATGTGGACAGAGAGTGTCTTCATCCAGCCAACAACAATCTTTAATGCGACTCGACTCGACTCGAACCTCGTCTGTGTGTTGTTCGGTTCGAATCATTGTACTTAAAAAATTATAATTTTAATAATTGATTTCGATCAAATCATCTTTTGACAAAATATGATTCGTTCCAGGTTTATTCTCGACTGCTTCTTAGTCAGGCGATATGTGTTCGATATTCAATGCTCAATTCGTTGAATGTAATTATTTATATTTTTCATATATTTAAAAATAATAATTATAAATACATTGAAAATAATTTAATAGAATTTATGTATAATTTTTGCACATTTCAATTTGATTTGCATTCGCAGTTGGGCAGAGAACGGCCAATCGTCATCAACTTTACATCCATTCAGGCCATACTAGGACAACAGATTCTCTGTTCCGTTCCCAAGCCCGCCCGCTCTAAAACTAAAGCCTAGCTATTTACACAGATCAATGAAGTTTAAGTAATCCATTCTTTTGCTAATCGAGGATAAGCAACAGATTATGCTGCAATCCCCTCTACCCCCCCCGCTCTGTCTGTTTATCTGTCTGTCTTGGTGATATTGAAAAATGCCATATTATGCGCAAGTGCTGCTATTTCATGATTAATTAAAATTTGTTGCTGCTGCTATCTGGATCTTGATATACACGAATCATCTTCGAGGATGTGATCTCAATTATTGCTGCCTCAGAAGTAAAAGCTTTCCGGATGCTGCTGCTGATGCTGCTGGCTGCGCTGCTGGCGTTGACGCAGCATTGCTGGCCATTCGCAGGGCATGTTGCCGTTGTGGTTGCTGCTGCTGCTGTTGTTGCTGCTGCTGGCAGCAGCAGCAGCCTCCAACTAGAATCATAAGTGCTGATACTCGCCCATATCGTACATGGGCATGGCGCCCATGACGCTGTGCAGATGCGAGTAGGCAACGGCGGCGGAGAGCGGCGGCATTTGGGAGGCGGCGACAGCAACAGCTGCTGCTGCAGCGCTGCTTTTGCTCGCTGCCGCTGCGCTGGCAGCATGTTGCTGATGCTGATGGTGTTGCAGGCTCTGCTCGGCAGCAACATGTTGCAGTTGCTGCTGATGCTGATGCAAGCTGTTGCTGTTGTTGCCGCTGCTGTTATTGTTATTGATATTATTGTTGTTACTGCTGCTGGGCGACTGCTGCTGCTGCTGCTGCTGCTGCTGCGAGTGATGCGAGTGGTGCGCGGCGGCTGCGTGTTGCTGTTGTGCGCTTTGACTGGACAGCATGTTGCCCTCCATTTCGGAATCGCTGGACGAGTCCAAGTGTTGTTTGTCCGTAGAGCCGCTGCAAAGAAAGAATAAGAAATTGAATATTAAAACACTTGTTAATGGGTTCCGGCAATTACAATTTTTAAGGACAACATTTTGGTCCTAGTCTTTGGTTATTTGGCTGCAGTAAATTTCTTCTGTATCTAATTCAGTTATTTTCTAGGAAATAATTGATATTTTAAACGGACTTTGATATTTTGTGGCACCTCAATGACAAGCCTTTTTATTGCTTATTTGTGCTCAGAAACTAATTCATTTATTTATAGCTATCTTTTTTTGACATTGGATTCGGTATTTTTTTCTTTGGTTTGGCGGTTGGCTGCACGTGTGGCTGTATATTTAAAAAAAAATGTAAGAGTAGCCAGATTAGATGCCTTATGTGTGACCAGATTGTCAAAAGTGAAAATACATGTTTGCAGTTTTAATTATGTTGTTGAGTATTTATGTTCTAATTTGAAAATGAGTGCTGTCACAACTAAACGAAAATATACATGCCAGAAATGACATAATGTTGCATAATCCTTACATATCCCCTCCCGCCGGATAGAAAGGCTGCTGAACTTTGCCTTCAAAAACAGATGTCAGCAATCGTTTAAATTAAAATGTGTCAATTGCTGTAACTAATTTACTGCTTTCAGCAGCAACAGCAACAATTACAACACACGCTGACATATACATACATCAGTTAAGTGTGTATATTTATAAACAAATGACAAATGACAGGGTGGGCAATTGAAAATAAAACCGGAAGGAAATTGTCTGCTTGGATATTTTTACTCTTAACGCCAGCATTTCTATAAATGGTTTCAGTTTCACATTCGGGCAGCAGCAGCCGTGAGCTAGAGCAGCACAGCACGTACGAAAGGTGTCGCGGGGCTCGAACACACACTCACAAACACGCCCACACATTCATATAAACAAACACGAGAGGGGCGGCAGCTCAGTGCATTCCCCCATAGAGCGCCGCCGCATCTGATTTCAGTTATTTGAGCTGCGCCTGGTGTCTGTGTGTGTGTGTGTGTGTGTGTCTGAGCGTGTCTGTAGTTTATATATCGTTCTCGCTCGCACCTTTGATCAAAAGTTAAGCAGCTTGACTTTTATTATTTGCGGCTGATTCTGTAAATGACTTTCAAGTGTCGTTTTTATCGCCACCGTTTGCCAGGGTGGAAGCGAGACACTCATTTGCTGGCCCAATTCCAGACACCGTTGGGAATTGAAAACACACACACAGGCACACACACACACACACTCGCATGCACTTACACACTTCTGGGGGCTGTTGTGTTGATGTGTTGTTCGTGTTGTTCAATTTGTTAGTGCTAAACTGTCCTGACATTTTAATGGCTAATTCACTGCCAGAGCGATAACAAGGCGCATTTGAAATTCGAGCAACTGACATTATCGGCCCAGTGTGCCGAGTGTGTTAATCTTAATCTTGTCGCGAATCCCAATTGCAAACGTACCCAGTGCGCGCACCCAGAACCAGTTTCAAAAATTGATGACAACAAACATCGACAAGGGTCCAGGGCCATGCAAAACATTTAAGCGCACACTCGACAAATTTGTGGCCAGAGATCATTGGGAACGATCTGCCAGATCAGCTACAGCCTGCAACCATTCCTCTTCCCTGCTCCCTTCCCCCCCGCCTGGCACAATCCATGCAAGTTATTTGCTGACTCGCGCGCAATTCGAGCCGAGCCTGAAAACCCAGTTGCAGACCTGGAGCTGCGCCGACGCGGCGGCCACATACGGCGCAGACGCGCAGACTAGCTGGCATCTCGAATGGGCAGCCAGCTGTTCGCTGTGCTCGGCATTGGCGGCAATCGTGTAATTGTAGATTCAACTCGCATCCATCTACATTTGCAGTCAGCCACTTGCAGCGCATGATAATTGCCGAGCTGTCCATTTTGTCCATCTTTCCCAGCCTGACGCGGATCGGGTAGCTGGGGAACACTTGCCAGATTCGTTGGGGGTGGCCTTGTTATTGTACAATTGGGCATCGAATACTTGATTATGTTGCAGTTAACAAGTGACATGACATCTCAAATGATTGTTATAGGAGTATATACTTAGTCATATTCTAAGTAATTCGATTTCTTGCAATCTGGTTCTTCGAATACTATTCCGGTATTTACAATATTATGAGAAAAGTAACTTTATTTGATGTACAAGCACAGTTCCATTGTTTTTCATAAGATTATTTTAATGAGCTCTTTTCCCTCGCTTTCCTAATTGATTTATCTTTTATTTTTAAATTTTTCTTCCGTATAGTACAGATCATATAAATAGTTCAGCTAGAACAAATCAGATTTTACTTTTTTTTATACCTTCGAATACTTTTCTCAAGATTGCAAAAGTTTCCTTTTATGGGGTATATCCGCCAATATACATGATATAGGTTTCACATGTTTAAGACAATAAACACAACAGAGCACTACATTTTTCAAAGATAAAGCACAAGCACGAATGAATGTCGTGAAATGTTTGGCTTTTTCAAACTCTCTCAAATAGCGTTAGTTATTCTTAAATTAAATGTCAAGTCTAATACAAAAATTTCTTACTTCAATTTCCACCTGCATTCCACCCACTTAGGCGGATTTTAGATAATTAAAGCTAGCCACAAACCATTCAATATATTAAGATCGCACAGTTTTTTATGTTATTTTTAACAGGCAACCAATTACATTATTGGAAGTATAGAAGACTTTCCTCAGGCTCCTTTTATATGCTACTTACTTAAAAAGTTTGGAATATTTCTTAAAAATCAATTGCCTGCCTTGGAATTCAGTTTCGTCCTTGTCAAGCCCTGGAGTATCCTAAGTTCTAGATCTCAATCAATTTTGCAATAAAAGTGAACTTTAGCAAAAAATTTAAAGGGCAGCGAATTGTGTTTGCCTATTTCTGAAGAAAATCGATTGTGGCACAGAGGGAGCGAACCCACCCGAAAAGTACAAACACAGATCTACACGCAAGCAAGCTGAGCAAACATAAAGCTAACCTCAAAATGAGAAATGGCTAAAATGTTGGAGTAGCCATGCCCATCCCTGGCCCAGCCAGTTCGCCAGTCAGCCATCCAGTCAACCAGTCAGCCGAGCAAAAGTGGGGAGCAAACAAAGGGCAGCAGCATATAAACAATGATATCAAATTTCAAGAATTTCATAGTTGTTGGCTCTGCTCGCTGCTGTCTCTGGCTTACTGCAACACTTATTAACACGGCCAGGGACAGGAGCAAAAGAGATGGAGTGATGGAGAGCGAGAGAAAGAGAGAGAAGGAGAGAGAAGGACGGAGAAAGGGAGAGCAGGCGTTTGAGACAGCGCCTACTTTCGTGGCATATTCCTGAGTATTTTCAACTGATTGCATTATAAAATAAATACATCCAAGTCTTAAAAGTCCGCAGCCCTCGCGGTAGCTGCGTCCCAAGGACAATCCCTCAATACATGATTGTCACATAGAGTTTATATAAAATATATGACAACAACAACAGGCGAGAGAAGCAAAGCCTGGTCAAGAGTTTGGGCAACGTGTGTGTGGTCCCCGGCTGAAAGTTCTTGAACTTCTTTCTTGGCGCTGCTCAGTGATGAGGAATTAATTTTTTTTTACTTGTTTTGCTCAATTGGGTTTCTGTAGTTTTAAGCCACTTTTGGAGCTGCATTAAGCAGATTCATTAGCTCGGCAATAATGGATGATCGGATTATGGGGGGCTTGGCCCAACCTTGTTACCCGGACTGCGAAAACGAGTGCGATCATGAATGCATAGCTATGGAGTAGTAGGATGGTATACGATCTGGATTAAGCCGAACCGGTTCAGAATTGGAATTTCAAGTTGACCGAAAAACGAACCAGCCGAAAACCGAACCGAACTTAATTTGATCGTAAATGGTTTAGTTACGATTGACTCTGGATCGAACAGAACCGGTTCGGAATTGGAATTTAAAGTCGACAAAAAAACGAACCAGCCGAAAACCGAACAGTACTTAATTTGATCGATAAATGGTTTGGTTACGATTGAGTTCGCCCAGTCCCAAGGTTACCAATCGTTGCATATATATTACTATGATTGTAAAATGCCATTTTTATTTTATTTTTAGAAAAAGTTTGGAAGAATATTTTCCGAATTTTAAGTTTGTCTGTTTTGATTTTACTTTTGTGTTTTGATTTTTGCTATTTTTGTGCCTTTCATCTATGAAGAATACTTAGGATAATAATTATATGCAAAAAAAGTTAAGAAAAAATAGTTTAAGTCGTTAAAATATATATATGTGATGTTTTTCATTATGCATATAATTACTTGAAAAACTTTATATAAGTTGTAAGTTGCCATTTTTATATAGAGCTAAAGTTTAGAAGAATGTAAAATTTTAATTCGAATTGTTTTATTAACATTTTGTAAAAGTGTGACAAAACATATCTTAATGAAAACAGATTCACGAACTGAAAACAAACACATGGAGCTAGTTCGAACCGTTAACAGAACCAGGGACAGTATCCTTTTTATTAGTCTTGCAGCCCTAGCTAGAATTGATGTGGAGGTTTAGCTCCTTCTATTATAAACATTATTCAGATGCTTAACACTTTACACAGATGACAATCGGGAGACTGCAATCTTATCGGGCAACAATCTGGTGTGGCATGCAATTAAAAAGCAACAAAATTATTAAAAAACTGTCAAAATAAAGCGCAGCCAGCATAAAATGCGCCACACGCCAACCGAACGGAATGGGCCCAGGCCATAAGATAAAATACTTTATAACGATGGCAACGATGACTTTTTGGTTAATCGCCAAGATCTACACGAAACTCATACATACTGGAATATGGAGGGGAACCGAAACTCAAACCGAGACCGAAACTGAAACTGAAAGCGAAACATAGTTGTAGACAATGGGACAACGCTCGGGTACAACTCTACTACTAGATCGAGTCGAAGCTCAGGCCCCAGACTCGAGTTGTGTCAACTCCAACAACAACAGCAACAACAACACGCCACACACATGCGTAAATTAAATGATAATTTATGATCAACACCTTTTCAGATTCTTATTGTGGCTCTCTCTGGCCCTGGCCCTGGTCCAGGCCCAGGTTCAGGCCCAGGCCCAGGCCGGGGCACCGTTTAGTTGGGTGTCCTGCTGCGCACACGTCTCGGGATTTGTGTACCGATCTCGCAATGCGATAACTCAACCTGTTCGTTGATTCCCTGGCTTGCACTTCGATCGATCGTGATCCCCAGCTCTTCCACTGGGGGCTTCACTTTATGAAACAGCGTTTCATTTTTCCCAACTGCCTCGCTGCTATATATATATATATATATGTGTGTGTGTGTGTGTGTGCCTGTTTATTTGTTTTTACGATTTATTGGCTTATAATTTTTATTAGCAATGGAATTTCTTGGAAATCCTGCAACGATCTACCATATGATGTGTCGTTCTGACTACCCCCCCTACCCGATTAGAGCGCCCCCCCTCCTACGCCCTTCTACGCTCGCTACCGTCTGTTTTTGATTTGTTTTGACTCTTGTTCTTGTGTAAATTCGCTTGAGATTACAGAACAGCTGACGGTTGGATCTCGTTCGATCTTGAACTTGGCGCAGCCTGGATAAGTATGCTAGAGATCAGTGGACGATCGTCATGGCAGGCAGATAATAAGGATCTTGCAGTCCATGGTAGTTGAGGCAATTGAATAACGAAGATCGGTGTTCGAATTCGAATAAGGAACAAAATTGAAATCCCCTCTCCAATGTTGATGGACTTCACACACAATCATAAGAACATCTTGGAATAGTTCCATTTTCCCTTGATTATCACATAAGATTTCCAGGCATGCCACTTGACCAATGAACTTCTCCAGTTCTATGTAAGCCCTAACACTTTTTAAGGCCTTAAGCAGCTTACGGCATTTATGCGGCAGGGCGAACTTCAACTTGTTTTCATGGGCGCAAAAGGAAAAGCGAATGAAACCCTAGAAATGGAAACATTGCCATTGAGAAATGTGTCAGGCCAGAAGAGCAATGAGAACTCTAGAAGAGGCAGCTTGAAGGGCGGTCAATTAAATGGCAATCTTTGTGGACTGATTTACGCCACATTCACAGCGATAAGGTGCTCAGCTTTCTAATTATAGTTGGGTAAATCACTTGACACAGGCGCCCACCCGATGAGTACCCGCCACATGTCCCAAATGCAGAGCTGAGCTGTGCGCGATTCTGTGGACAGCAATATCCCCTGGCATGCCGTTGGCAAGCGCCTTCGGCTGAGGTCTCAGTTCCATACCGGTCCATCATCACCAACGACATCATTATCAACGCCATCAGTGGCGGCAAAACTCAACTGCCAAATGCGTCACGGAACTCCAGTTGCGGGAATGGGAACGGGAACGGGTATGGGAAGGGACGAACAGACCCATATAAGAATGTATGCACATACATACGTTTGTATGTATGTATATATGTGTGTGTAGAGGGATGGAGCTGAAGAGGCAGAAACGCAAACAAACACAATCACAAAAGCGAGAGAGAGAGAGACAGAGAGACGGGCAAAAGCGCAAAATACATAATAATAAAAACAGAATGTACAATAAAACGAATAAAAATGAATAACGCGCTGCGACGACGTCAACGTCAACGTCGGCGACGGCGACGGCGACGGCGCTGAGGCGAACGAATAAAGAACACACGCACATTTTGTGGTAACTTGATACTCTTTCCAGCTACCCTCCAGCCAACCGTGGCATTCGACGAACGCAAACGCAAACGCAAAACGATGAGCCCTGAGCTGCCCGAGATCGACATACAAACACATACACACACACACATACACTCACATACACACAATGCACACAGTTACAAACACACACATTTGGAAAAATGAACATCAGAACAACGGGCCGAGTCTGGGTCTGGGGGTCTGGCACTGGAACTTGAACTGGAACTCTTCTCACATTTGAAGTAGTATTAAGGTTTTTATGTTTTTTTTTTTTGCTGCTGGTGGTGTTCGTCTTATTGTTGTTGATGTGGAGCGTGTGCATTGTAAACAATTTAAAAACAGATCCTACGAATCGGAGCATAATCAAACCATGACGAAGGTGAAGGCTAGCAAAAAAGCCTGAATTGAAATTCCAAAATCGTAGCTTTCCTCAACTGTCAATAGTTTACATAATGTATGACAGAAAAACTAAAAATTGTGCGAATTTGTACATATCCAGACATACTAACAGTTACACGTCCAGTATATTGGGATATTTTGCTCAATAAGTCCTTATGTAGGGATTTGGAAATAAGTTTGAAACCGTTCGGACGGAACTGGGAATTTTACCCATAAGTACCTTCACACCCATTTTCCACCCAAAATGGTTGGATTTTATAAATATTAGAGCTTTATTCGGGAGTGCATGACTAGGGGTATATATGTATGTTATATAAAACGGAACAAAATAGATAAACTTCTTCCAATAAACCTACTTTTAATGAATTCAAAGTATAAAACAAACGTTGTTCGAGATATGCCATTCGATTTCCTTATGGATATATAGTAGGCATTAAAAATATAAAAAATTCGAATAACTAAATTTTTGCTTGATAGAATAGAAAATAAAATAAAAAAAATAAAAACAAAATTGCCAGTTAAAATGCACAAGACCTGGAAGAAACCACTGCACAAGCGCAAAGTCGTAAGCTCTACACACACACACGCACACTCTTCCACTTCCGCACTCCCCCCACTCCCTTTATCTCACACTCTTTGAATGTTTTCATGCGTTTCGCTTGCAGTGGGCGAAGATATCATGGCCGGGTCGCTTGGTCTATTACATGCAGCCTCTGGTGGAGCACCTGTTTGACATTTGGCTGCAGCAGTTGCCCTTTCCGACGCTGCTGAAATGCGTTTATACGTGCGGCATGCTCTTCTTCATATTGCTACCCGTTCTGTACCCAATGATGGTTTTGGGGCTCTACTATGCCGTGTTCCAGTACGTCGGGCAAAAGCATTTGGATGTTGTCTTTCCGCCAAATTGGGATCTACTTGGCGCCGCATCGAATCTGTGGTACTTCCAGGTCACCAACAAGAAGTACATGCTGTTCGTAACGATGTACATTGATCGATATCGGGTCATTATAACGGCCATATCCTCCACTGTGGACTATATGCGTATGGCATTGTGCTTTGTATTTGGTTAAGACGGATCTGAGTTTTTCCCTGATTCCCCGATCGTTCGTTGCTGATAAACTTTTGGAACAATAAATTCTCTAGTTGTATTTTAAGTTAACTGCCACACAAAAGTTTCTAATCAACATTTTAACTTTTTATTAACCACTTTTCTACTAATTTTAATAAAGTGTAAGGGTATTGTCGAGTTTAAAACCACAAAGAAAAAGACACTTGGGGTACCAGAAAAGTTTCAAGATTTAGTTTTACGGAAGTTTTAATATATTCAAATTTTTCCAAAAATAGATAAAAATTATCGAAAGTTTGATATCGTAGTCTTTTTAAAAGATGACCCCAAATATTGATTTATGATTCTTTTACCCTTTATGAGGATTTTTTTATATAGTTATGAAATTTGTAACGCATTGAAGGGATATATCCTGACCAATATCAACAGTCGAGTCGATCTGTCAGATATACATCTGTCTTTATATGTCGCAAAGAATCGGTTAGAAAACGAGAAAATCTGAAATAGTTTCGTTTTTAAGATATCCTAACAAAAGTTGGCCTTAACTAACTAACTTATCAATATCTAAAATTCAAATTAGTTCGACAAGCAATTGAATTGAGGTAATTTTCAGGTGTAAATTAAGTATGTAAAGTTTCAGATTTGATCGGCAATTATGTTAAATGACGACAGTTGCTGGAGAAACACTCGACAGCTCGTAGAATTGTGGGCGTTGGCGTCGTTATGGTTGGTGAACCGTTTGGGAAACACATTAAAGTCCCAACTACAATGGAGCACACGAATTTGTGTGCATGTGTGTGTGTGTGTTTGAGTGTGTGTGTGTACCTTTAGGCGAGTCTTCGGTGCACATTCAAAACAAAACACTATATATGAAAAGTTAAAGTAGCAGCGCCGAGTTGCCGTTGCCGCTGCCGCTGCCGTTGCTGCTGCCCGACGCGGCACAGCCATAAACATATATCAGGTTACCAGCAACAACAACAACAACAGCAACAGCAACAACAAAACGAATAATAAAATAAAAAGCCATGAGGAGGCTACGTAGTGCAAACTACCGTAGGCATTGGCCCGCCTATAAGAGCTATATGCAAAAGTATCTGTGAGATACTTTTGTCAGCTGCATATATGTATCTGAGCGTTTGTGTGCGTGTGTGTGCATTGCGGTTGCTACGACGGCCAATTTTTATTTTTATTGCGACAATTTTTCGTTGTTGTTATTATTGTTTTAATATATATGTGTTTTTTTTTTTGGAAATTGCGAATTGAAGATCTTTTGTGCACTTTGAGTAACTGATATGCCGTTTAGTTAAATTGTTTTTGAATAAATATGTATGTTTTAGGCACAGATGCGAAACGAACTAAATGTTAGTTAGTTCAACATTGTTGCGGCCACTTTAAAATCCATTTCCAATTTCCAATTTCCATTTCACATTTCACTTCTAGCTCATGTTTGCGCTTCACATGACTTTTAACGAGAGAGCGAGAGCGGGAAGGCAAACAAAAGGATGCCCGAAAGGATGTTAAATATTTGAAAAGTTGCCTATCAGCGGCCAAGCATCTGAAAGAAGCCGAAAAAAAAAAACAGCCGGAGAAGAGTTTCGAAAATGTTTGCCTATTTGCTTAAGCGGAAATGCAGATGTTTTTGGACGGCATCCAAATGTCCTTTTCAGCAAGGAGTCGCTGCATTAGTTTTAGTCAGTCGGCGGCCGTGTCTGCCACGCATATGACAATGCGCCTATGAAAACAAAGATCAACACAAATACCGAATATGTGGAACGGCATGTTCATGAATTTGTCAGCCACATTTCCATTTAACATATTGTATAAATAAATACTCATCTTTTCACGTGAAAAACGGCCGTGTCCTTGACACTAATTAGACCGCCCCACCCACCCACAGAGAAAAAGCCTCAAATTGACCTTGTTATCAGCATGTAAAAGCCAAGTAATTGAAATTGAAATGCTAATTCATTTCGCACGCGTTGACACTTAAGCAAAAATTGTTTATAATAAATGTATGCCTATATATTATTATTATTTGTTGGATATATAGGGATATATATATATAGGGGAGAACTTACTCTTTGTGCTCGGCGGCGCGATCTCGTTGTCGTCGATTCTTGAACCAATTAGAGACCTGTAAAGGTGTAATCAAAGGTGAATACTTATGATTAATGAAATCTATGACAACTAACATATGCAATTTGTCAACGATTTTCCTCACCTGCGTCGTGGTCAGTCCTGTCGCCTCGGCCAGGTCGCGCTTCTCGCGCGGCGATGGATACGGATTGTGCGCATACCAGTCTCTCAATACCGAACGCGATTTCTCCTGAACGTGGTAAAAGAACAATAATTATTCGCATTTTTTTTTTGCCTAAACAAACGCCTGCCAGAGCGATTTACGTAGACGTAAGCAGAGGCTTTATTGCCTGAGAGCTCGCTTCTTAACTATTAAATTCTTTCTATCAACAATTTTTCCTAGCAGAGTTGAAAGATTTGGCAGGTGGAACACATTTTGATCCCATTAGCCCTAAAGTGCCATTAGTGCTGCACCTAACGTAAACGAGAGAGTAGGATATATTCGCCGAAATTGAATACTCTTTCCCTATTGCAGATATGTGAGAATTGTTAAGCTCGAAAATGCTGTGTCTGATCTTTAAAAACACAATATTTTGTCTTATAAGATCCTACTATTCTAACGATCTCATATGTTTTTACTTTATGGACTATCTCCGAGCTCCTTCTAAGCGTTACACAAATCATAATAGGGTATAAAAAGGTGGCATATTTCATGATTCAAGCCAACTTACCAGCGTGAAATCTTGTTTTGTCATCATCAAATCTAATTTGTAATTTATAAAATCCCGCTCAACAGTAAATATCTCATATTATTTTCGATTTATGTGCTAAATGCAATGATTGGAACCAAGAGACTCCCTTTAAAGTTAATTTTGTTCAACTAAACTACTTTTCGAAATGAAAACGTTTTACTTTAGTTTCTGTTTCGGCTTTTTTTTGGGGCAACTGGAGAGGTTTTCATTGCAGAAAATTGAAAAAATTTGGAATTCCAAAACGGGATTGATTGGGATATATGTATTTTCTATACCTGTAAGTGATATTTATATATATTTCTTAATATTTCCAGTTTTTTTTTTTTAATTTCTCTAAATGTTCCACTTCAAATTCGATATATATAATTCCTATAACTAAGAGTAGGTGCAATTAGGTGCACTTGTTCTTTCCCCCCTTCGCCTGTGCCTCCCAACTTTTGTAATACCCTTAAATATTTGACATGAATGCAAATGTTTTTAATCAATTGAAAGCCCGCATAGATAAAGCCCAAGTGCAAACAGTGTCAGTCAGGAAACGACGGCGAGCCCACAAGGAGCACAGGAAAGGAGGCGTTGCCCGGCAGTCCAGGGCAGTACAGGGGAGGGGAGGGGCTAGGACGAGGCGGACATTTCTACGATTTCATTTTGTGCCCTTTGTTGCCGCAATTAATGTGGCAAGGAGAAGCAAGATGGTAAGGCAGAGACAGAGACAGAGACAGAGACAGGGGCAGGTGCGGGGGCAGGGGCAACTGGTTGGGGAAAGGTGTCTGCGGTACTCACCTTAAAACAGTAGCTCGTCTCCTCGCCATCCCAAATGGTGCGGGGCAGTGGAAATTTACGGCGAACACGATATTTGCCCACAGCACCCAAAGGTCTTCCGCGCAGTTTTTCGGCTTCCACGTAATGCGCTACAGTAAAAGAATTTCGGGTTAGCACTCGGAGTGACAGCGAGAGAGAAAGGCAGAGAGAGAGAGAGGGAGGAGAAACGTGATCGAAGAGAGAGAGAGAGATGGGGAGATGTCTCACCTTTCAACCACAGGGCCTGGAGCTTGGCGTGATTCTGGGCCGAGAAGTGATGATGCTCGAGCAGCCGGTACAGCTCCTTGTACTGACCACGATGGAATGCGACGACCGCCTTGGCCTTCAGCACAGACTCGTTCAGTTGCAGTTTATCACATTGTGGCAGCGACCAAAGGAAGCGGCCCAGTCTTTCGATGTTGCCCGCCTGCTGCAGTACCTAAAAGATCAGAACAAATAACTTAATGCTGGTAGCTGAGCAGGCCGTAATCCTCGCCAGCGGCGGCTCACCTCGCACACGCAGGCCACCTGCTCCTGCGTAAAGCCGAAGCTGGGCAGAGTTTCGCGTCCGGCTGTCGCTGCGCTGCCGCCGCCCGCGGCCCCAGCGCCGCCATTGCCGCTGCCGCCGCTCAGGTGGAGTCCACCGCCCAGACCTACGCCCACGCCCACACCCACGCCGCCTCCGTTGTGCGTGAGCATGTCGAGATTATTGTTGTTATTATTGCTTGTGCTATTATTGTTATTATTATTGTGCAGCGCGACCACCGACCCGCTCAGCCCCGTCGGGCTGTAGGGGGGCGTGTGCCGGGCGGTGAGCACAGCAGCCGCATTGGCCGCGGCCAGGTCGTAGAAATCGGTGGCGGGATGTTGCAGCATAATCTGTGAGTGGAGCTCGCACTCCGAACCGGGCAGCTGGGCCCTCGGATAACCGATAAGCGAATCGATGCGTGTGAGTCCCCGCCAATAGCTCACTTTATCAATAGCCTCGTGAGGGTTAAGCTTAATTTGTATTTGGTTTCTGGAGCGCTGCAAAAAGAAAAAAAAATTTGGGAAAAGAATTTAATAAGAGTCGAAGAAGAGTTAAAGAAATCTTTAGTTCAAACATATACAATCAAAATTCATTAATGTTAACTAGAGCATGTTAACTAACACACTCAAAATTCTTTAATGTTAACTAGAACATGTTAACTAACATGTTCTGTTAAATTATTAACTTCTAACTTCGGCGTGCCAAAGATTTATTCCCCCTGCAGACATGTAATACCGTTTGATAAGTTTTTGGTTAAGTTAAGTTAAGTTTATTTAAGTAAAGATAAGTTAAGTTAAGATATTATGTAAAAGAGATTTCAAGCAAATTATTCCCTGAGTTTTTCTTCTAATCTCGTTATTGCAGTCAGTTAAATTTGCCTAGATTTAGTCATTATTTCGTATAGATTTGTTATTGCATATACAATCTATTCTACTTATATCTATCTATCTGTCTATAAACGTATCTTAAATCTTATCATATTATTACATTAGCTACGATTGGCAGTAAATATTTTAGATAAACTCTTTTTGTTGATTTGTGTATTCAATATGGGTTAATCCTAGGGTTAATTGCTCTCAAACTGAAAGCCAAAGAAAGTTCTATTCCAAGCTCTGTATCTTAATGGATTTCAAGGCTCTCTTGATGGACGACCTACTATGACAGCAGTCCATTAGCTATGCGACCCGCCTCTCTGCTGACCCTCATATCGAACTATAAAAACAACGCACAAGTCTTAATATTTAATGACAAGTATGTTAATACCCCTTTTTTTAACAGCAAAGCATCAGCAAATAAGAGGCTCTAGTCGGGAGTTTGTGACTTCGATATCGATTTTCATCGATTAATTGGAAAAGGGGCAAGTTATCGATTATCGAAAACACACTCGTACTGCGCGGGCAATAGGAGGACCTACATTCCAGATTTCAAATCTCTAGTTCTTATAGGTTCCGAGATCCTTGCCTTTACATATACGGGCAGACGGACGGACGGACAGACAGGGAACGAACGTGCTTAATTGGATTAAAAAATGTTTACATACTTTTATGACTAGTTCAACTGATGATATTGATTGGGGATATGTATATATATACTCTGCACATTACACGTGTAGATACAAATCAATAGTTTTTACTCTTTTTATTTCAGTTAGATGTTTAGAAATGCTCTCGATTTGCGACTCTGCGTTATGGCCATTAATCAATCTATGCAAAAGGCGAATTCGTAGGATCCAATAATTACCATGCTAATTGGTGGCGATTTTTCATATTTTTATTGCCAACATTTGCGATGTTTTGTTTAAGATTGTAAAAACGATAATTGAGACACATTAAACTGTTGAAAGTGGCATTTGGGAAAATGTGAATATTTTCCACAATTTCCACATTTATGTTAAACAAAACAAGTTATGAAATATGGCCAAAATGCGAAAGCAAACAAATGAAAATCATTTCGGCAGCCAGCCAGAACTGGACCCCATGTTGTCAAAGTCGATTAGTCGATCGGTTAGATTGGCTAATGGCTGTGGGGCAGGTGCGCACGTGTAATGCCCAATGCTTCCATTATCAAAGTATGGTTTTCCATATGCGCCCCCCGCCTAGCGACGACGACGACGGCGACGTCAGCTCGGCGAACGGCCGCAACGAAAATAAACTTTTACACAATATTATTAAATGGGGCGCATGGTTTTCAGTGTTGTGTTATTGCTTATGTAGAAAATTTTCTAAAATTACCACGTCGCTGCCGCATCTCTGCTTACAGCCAGCAGCTACAGATACAGATACAGATACGGAGAGCAGGCGCTGCAAGTGTATCCGTCAGATAGAATATCCGCAAAGGTCGCACTGCAATCGATCGCGCTGGCCCACGCATCGTCTGTTTGGTTGTGCATACGTGAATTTCAAATTGAGATGCGCCAAGATTTCAGATCTGATTTCTCTACAGCCCCCGCAGCCCAGCACCCCCCCCCCCCCCCCCTCCCCTGGTTACGGGTTAAAGTCTAAGCAGCTCGCACCTCGTATATGTTTTCAAATTGAGGCAACTGCGCCGCAGCGATTCGAGATATTCTTGGATCTGTTTTCAATTTTCAGCTTGCATGTCTCTCTCCCTCTCTCCCTCTCTCCCTCTCTCTCTCTCTGTCTCTCTCTCTCGCTCGCACTCTGTGTGTGAGGCAGATTATATATACAAAGCATTTCATTTGGCTGCTGTAACGAAAATACCAACGCCAAGTTGGTTGCCTGCTCTTGAGTCATCGGCCTAGGCCGCGCGATCCGACCGATCCCGCCCGATCCGATCCCCATTTGGCCAAGCGTCAGATATATTTTTTTTTTTTTCTTTTGGCTTGTTTTATGTTTGACGCAAGTAAACAAGCAAAACGAACGTGAAACGAAATACGCTATATAAGTAGGTACTATATATGTTCAATTTGCTCGTGTGCTGGCCATAATTTATAGATGAAATTGTGTACAACACAGTCATACGATATACACAAAGCGTTCAACTATTCGCCAAGCAAACATTTTCCTTAGCTAAGCAGCCAAAATTGACTGAAATTCTAATAATTTTCTTCTGTTCTAACATTTGATCATTTCCTTGCGAATAATATTCTGTTCAATTAACGTAACGTTAACGTTAACCTCCAAGGGGCCGAGTTCGAGTCCCTGCTTAAATTGTAGCCAGATATATCTTTGAGCTAGTTATAATATCAAACTAGCTAAATCAAACCAACTAAATCAACTAGCTGCATTTTAGGTTCGGCTTGTGCACCTGGTTTTCCACATCTATTGCTGGTTCAATCTTTGCTTTTCAATTAATTATCTAATCCAAATGAAGCATTTTAATTATTATACCCTGAACCCATTGCAAATGGGTACCCAGGGTATATTGTATTTGTGCAAATGTATGTAACAGGCAGAAGGAAGCATCTCCGACCCCATAAAGCCATGTCCGTCTGTCTGTCCGTCTGTCCGTCCGTCCGTATGTATGATCGCAAGGATCTCAGAATCTATAAGAGCTAGAGACATGAAATTTTAGCTGTAGCTCCTAGTACCCGCGCAGTTTGTTTCCGATATTCGATAACTTGCCCCGTTTCCAAGTAATCGATAATCGATATCGAAATCCTATTTATTGAGCAATTTCGGCAAATAATATGAGCTAGAGTCACCAAACTTGACATGTAGCTTCTTGAAAAGTATATATATATCAAGTATCTTTCATCTTATACCTATCGCCTGTTGGAAGAAGAGGGTACAGAGTATCCCCTAGTCGGGAGCTCCCGACTAGAACCTCTTACTTGCTAAATGTTATTTTAATGCAAATCACAAATTGTTCATTTCTGCAGTATTATATAATATATATATTTGTGTTTCAGTATTCGCATGTCAATTAATTTTGTCTTGGTTTAATTTGATTAGAAAAGTATGTTTTGAATGTTGTTCCTCTTGACCCGATTACAATTTTAGACTCAAGTAGCACGCTGATGCATATGATGCTCAGTTAATAGCACTCCGATATGATCTGTGGCCATAGCATATATAGAAGATGCCCCACACGGCACCAAATCTTTGCGAGCATTCACTCAGCTAGTCGCAGCAGCAACCCCAAAGATATTTTATCTGATGGGAAACGGCTGCCGACTGCAGTTATTCACATGTTGCCGATAGATGGTTTATCTGGCCTGGCTGCGTCTTGTGGCAAGCATTCGAATAAAAACTAAATGAATTTAATTTATTTTCAGCTCGACTTACACATTTTTAATTTACTTTACAAACGCGTCCATTCGAACGTGTTATCTGTCAGATTTCCGATTTCTACTGTTTGCTTTTTGTTGTGCGTGTGTGTATCTGTGTGTGCGCTTGACTTTTATAAGCTTTTAATTTGAGTGTTATTGTTATTGTCTTCGCTTGTTTGGTCGCCTGTCAATCTAACTGCTGCATGCGGGAGCGTCTCGCTCAGCCAGCCCCCCAAAGCTGAAAGCGGACACCTTGGACGCCGATGTCTTGGGCATGAGTATTGGATCTTGGATCTATTTCTGTTGGATCTGTTGTGCGTTTCAGTTTTTATAGAGTTGTATGCTGTTTTGTTAACCAAATCGCAGCCAAACGACTCTATTGTTGCCAGCGCCTAATTAGTTTCGAATTAAAGTTGAATCTAATAAAAGTTTTTAATGTTTTTATACCCTCAACACATTGTAAATACATAAAAGGGGTATAATGGTTGAGTGCAAATTTATGGACAGGCAGAATAAAGTATTATATTATCTCATCAAAAGCCGAGTCGATTTACGTTTGTCTCTTTCCTCGCCTTTTCTCGATCTCAGAGAGTTTAAAAGCTATAGACTTAAGATTTTGAACGCAGTTCCTCCGCATGCACGAACAGGTCGAAATTATTTCGAGTTATCGATAACTAGCCCAAAAAACTACATCGATTTTCAGTTATTTGAGCATATTTCGAAGCTAGACACACCAAATTTGGTATGAAGACTCTTGCTTAATGTACACTAATCCAGATTCTTTCATTTCTTAGATACCACCCTTCCCTCCACCCATAAAAGATTATTGAAACTCATCTTTGGTAAAACAGCTTTGAACTTTGGTATATGCAAATATTTGCATTTCATACTTAAGTCCTAAAAATTTGAAAAAGATCAAACTATAAACACCGAAGTTCCTCAAAAGTATATTTCATAATGTTTTAGAAGAAAGCTAGATGCAGGGTATCTCCTAGTCGGGCACTCTTACTGGCTTTAATTAAGTTGCGTAGTTGCTGTGATTTATGGACTAGCCGAAATGTTTGTTGAAATGTTGAAATAGGCAGTAAAATGTCTTCAAACTTATATTGGGAATGTGGTTTTATACCTGTTGCTCGGCCGACTTGCAGTTTCATCATTTGTCGGAATTCCTTAAAGTTTAACCTAGTTTAACTGTTAATATAAATATTAAAAAAAAAAACAAAAAGAAAGCACTGCGACACGTTCGAGCTTTGAAACTAAACTGCC